ATAAAATGACATGACCCAGGGGGTGGTGGTACAGCTCAGTGGTAGAGCCCGTGCTTAGCATGCACAAGGTCCTGGGTTCAGTCCCCAGAACCTCCAGTAAAATAAAGAAATAGATAAATAAATAAATCTAATTATCTCTGTCCCTCCCCCCAAAAAAAGTCTTGTAAAATGACATGACCCAGGAGGAGTCTTCACCGGCCTCCCTCCAAGGATTGTGGCCTCAGGCCGGGACCCTGGGCCCGTCCCCACTTGAACTGATGAAACTGAGCGGACCCTGTGGGGCCCCCACTGTCTGTTCGTAGGACACAGGCTTCATTCAGCCTCCTGACCTTCCCTGAGCTCCGAAGGGCAGATTCAAACAGCTGCCAATCAGGGAAGACGGGAGGAACAGTCAAGACACGGCAGTGCGGCTGTGAAAGCCGGGTCCTGGCTCCTCCTCAGGGGACACACGTGACAGTATCTCTGAGTTCTTCCGCGGGAACCGAGGTGGAGGATGGTAACTTCAGGCTGAGTGCGGGATTCCTGAGCCCCGCCCTGTTCCCTCCCCACCAGCCAATCAGAAGGAAGCCACACCCCACAGCCCTCTCCCCAGACATTGCCTGTAAAGGCTTCTCCCCCAAACCATCGGAGAGCAGAGCGTGGGTTTTTCCAGCAGGAGCTGCCCGTCCTTGCTCGGCCCTGCAGTAAACCTTCCTCTGCTCCCAACTCCGATGTTTTGGTATGTTTGGCATCACGGTGCATCAGACACACAAACTTTCGTTTGGTAACACTTAATACCGGGGCTCCTCTTTTAAAATCCGGATTTAACTGTACCCCAAATATGAAAGATGTGTTTGCTAAGCATAGTTAAGTCTTTTAAATTTTTCTTTTTTGGGGGTGGTGGGGGAAGGAGGTTCATTTGTTTATTCAACGGAGGTGCTGGGGCTGGAACCCAGGACCTTGTGCGTGCTAAGCACGCGCCCTACCACTGAGCTCACCCTCCCCCACTTAAATTTTCTTAAATGTTTTTAGTTTCTTGAAGCATTCCCTGCACGCACGCTTGTGGGGAAAATGCAGTGTAGACAGTCTCAGGTTGCCCTAAGGCTCCCACCCCTAAACCGTGGTGGGGCCCTGCCCACCGTGAGCCTGGGCCCCGTCTCGCACAACCACAGCTGTTTTGGACACAGCAGGGCTCCTGGCGAATGTTTCTCTCTGCTTGCTTTTTCTTGCATAACCTCCACCTCCGAATATGCTTCACGCCACCCCACGGGGGCTGCCCCGCGGGCCTGAGTCTGCGGCCCCGTGTCCCTCAGCCCCTCCTCGGGGACCCACCCCAGTGTGGTCCCCGGGCCCTCTCTGGGCCCACAGTGGTCCACGGAGGGCAGCCTCCGTCCGTCCGGCCCGCCCGCAGCAGCGCGCAGTCCTAATGTTACCCAACGCAGGTTCACGTGCCCGACAGACAGTGAGGCCAAACGGACCAAAGCGTCGGAGTTTGGAGCAGAGAAGGTTTACTGCAGGACTGAGGGAGGAGGACAGCGGCTCACGCTTGAAAACGCCAAACCCTCAAAGGTTCCCAGGGAAGGTTTTCTTTTTAATAACTTTAAAACCTTTTTAGAAAATGTATTTATTTACTTATTATCTATTTTTTTTTACCTTTTGGGTGAGGTAATTGGGTTTATTTTTAATTTATGTAATTATTTTAATGGAGGCACTGGGGATTGAACCCAGGACCTAGTGCGTGCTGAGCATGCGCGCTACCACTGAGCTACACCCTCCCCCGAGGGAAGGGTTTTTAAAGGCAACATTTGAGGTGAGGGCTGTGGGGTGTGGCTTGATCTGATTGGCTGGTGGAGAGGGAACAGGGCAGGGCTCAGGGATCTCGCACTCAGCCTGAAGTTAGCATCCTCCACCTCAGTTCCCGCAGAACTCAGGGTAGTGTCACGTGTGTCCCCTGAGGAGGAGCCAGGACCCGGCTTTAACAGCCGCACTGCTGTGTCTTGACTGTTCCTCCCATCTTCCCTGATTGGCAGCTGTTTGAATCTGCCCTTTGGAGCTCAGGAAAGGTCAAGGAGCTAAATGAAGTCTGTGTCCTACAAACAAGGAACAGAGGACACGGGTGGATTTGTACGAGGAGGGGCCCCACAGGGTCCTGCTCGGTTTCGGGGGAGCTGCTGGCCTGTGCTCTTAAGCAGCTCCATAGGTGGGAACCTGGTTAGTGGCTCCACTGGCTTCTTCATTCAGCAGTTACTTCCTGAGCATCCAGCCTGGGTGACTGCAGCTGTTGCCTCTGCTCTGGACTCTGCAGGTGAAGGTGGGCCAGCGGGCAGGCCCCATGCTGGGGTGTGGCTGTGACTTGCACTGGGGCCCTGGTGTGGCCCTGCACCCACACGCACCTGATCGTCTAAATGCTCTTCCACAAGCATCATTTGCTCGTTCTTAACAGCCCAGCTGCGTCTGCTAGGCAGAGCACGCTTCCCATCAGTAAGCTTCTGATACCGGAGTGAGACGGGGGCGGGCACAGGAGGACGGCCATGTCCCCAGTCTCGGACGAGTCCCTGGGATGCCCCCTACCAAGTGAGGGTCCTCGACCTCGCGCAGAAAAGAATTCAAGAGCGAGCCACTGTTGAGTAAACGTAGATTTACTTAGGGAGATACACACTCCATAGACAGTGTGGGCCCCCCCGGGAAGGCGAGAGAGAGGGGGCAGGGAGCGGCGCTGCTGGATTTCATGTGCTGGTAAGTGGGAGGAGCGGCCCCGCTACTCTGGGGGGGGGGGGGCGGGACTCCCGGGAACTGGGCCGCCGCCCTCTCCTTTGGCCTTTCATGGTTAGCCTCGCAACAGTCCTGGCACCCGTGGGGGCGCCGTCACCAGGCCAGGGCGCTGCAGTGTGTGTGATGCGGCTCGAGGCCCCTGGAGCCGGAGGCTCCGCCTCGTGGGCCTCCGCGCTCCTGGGAGTTGCCTTTCCTGCCACCTTGGAGCTTTCTGCTGCGTCTTTACTTCAGTGGCTGTGTCCCTCCTGTGTCACTTCCACTAGTCTCTTTATCTGAGGTGTTTGTCCCCACCCTCCTCCATGGGGGTTTCAAAAAGGGTGGCCCCTCTGGGCAAATAGTAGCTCACTAGATGGGTTTGAATAGACTCCTTTTCGTGGTACAAACACATGAGAAATGAGCATTGGCTGCTTCTCAAAAGCCGTTCGAAACCACAAGTGCAGAAACCAGCAATAACAACAGGTGCCTCCTGCTCGCTCCCTGAGCTTTTCCTCCTTCCTGAGAAAGTAGATCTTGTTCGTTGGTAACGACTTTGCAGACACATTCTTTGCTTTTCTGTAATGCAGACTCTAGCGTGTAAGTGAAACTAAGCTATACTGTTGTTCCGAGACTTACCTTTACTACTGTTGTTCTTGTCAGTTTGTATCCGTCTGCCTTGTTCTTTTGCTGCCCTGCCTCAGCAAAGAAGGTTTTGCAGGGGACAGTATGGAGGTTTCTTAAAACTGAAGCTAGACTTACTGTATGATCCAGCAATCCCACTCCTGGGCGTGTATCCAGAGAAAACTCTGATTTAGAAAGACACCTGCACCCCAGTGTTCACAGCAGCACTGTTTACAGTAGCCAAGACGTGGAAACAGCCTAAATGCCCATCAACAGCTGACTGGATAAAGAAGCTGTGGTGTGTGGTGTGTGAATACACACACACACAATGGAATATCACTCAGCCATAAAAAAGAATGAAATAATGTAATTTGCAGCGATGTGGATGGACCTAGAGACGATCATAGTAAGTGAAGTCAGACAGAGGAAGACAAGTATCCTATGATATCATTTATATGTGTATCAACTGAAATAAATGCGTAGCCTAAAAGTTGAGAGTTTTATTTTATTTGGCAGGAGGACGTGAGCCAGGATGACAGCCCCTCAGATGGCTCTGAGGGGCTGCTCTGAAGAGGTAGGGGAGGAGCCAGGATATACAGGAGCTTTACGACAGAGACCAGGCAGTTGGAGCAATAAAAGATGACTTGCTGTCTAAAGAAAGCCAGGCGTCTCAAGTTAACGAATGTAGTGCTTTTCTATGTATGAGGAAGCAAACATTTGGGCTCAGTGAACTCATTCCTTTGACAAGCACCTAGCTATCTAGGGCCAGTATCCTGTCCTTTCTTATTCTGAGTCCCCTCAGAGGGCACCATAGGCCGGCTGCAGGCTGGTCTTCACTGGGGGGTGGCGGCAGCTGCTAACGACTTGATGGTTTCAGCATTCTTTGTTCACTGATACGGTTTTGCAGTATTTTTCATTCACATGTGGAATCTAAAAAAATGATACAAATGAACTTATTTACAAAAGGGAAAGAGACTCACAGACATAGAAAACAAATTTATGGTTACCAGAGGGGAAGCGGGAAGGGATAAATTAGGAGTTTGCAGATACTAACTATGATATATAAAATAGATAAACAGCAAGGTCCTACTGCAACGTGCTGCACTCAGTAGCTTCTAATAGCCTAAAATGGAAAAGAATCTGTAAAAGAAGACATACATGTATAACTGAGTCGCCTTGCCGTACACCTGAAACTAGCACAACAGGGTAAATTAAGTCTACTTCAGAAAAAAGGTTTTTTTTTGTAAAGAATGTTCTAGAATGATTCCCACTTTCCCACTTTTAGAACATTTTTGCCGCCTCCGGGTTTTCTCTTCCTTTCTTTCCTTTCGTAGTTTACTTACAGGCTTTAGATTATCGCATACTTTCTGCCCACGTGCAAGCTTCTCTGTAGACAGACTCTTAGAAAGTGCACTCATTCGCTGTGGGGCTGTATGTATTTTAAATTTTTATAGATTCTGCAAAGCTGCTGTCCAAGGTATTTGCAGCATTTAAGCTTCAAGGGGTGGCGCGCGGGGCCGTCCACCTGCATCCGGCCGCTCCGCTGACTCTGCATCTTCATTTCTCTAAGTTCTTGTGAGCTCGCCCTCAGCGGGCTTCTCTGGAGGATGCTGGAGTCACCGCTTTACAGATTTCCTCTCTCCACTCCGCAGGACAGCTGTGCCCGAGTGCTGCTGTTTCGAGGAGGAAATAAGGAATTGAAGAACTACAACAGCCAGACCCCATTTCAGGTAAACAGGGGCTCAAACACGTGGGATGCTGTGGGTCCGTTGCCAGGGAGGAGACCCGCGTTCCTGCCCGGCCTCTCTGCAGCTGGACAAGAGCTCAGCCGCTTGGTCCAGGATGGGGTCTGTGTTTGGAGCTGCGTCCCTGGACCTCCATCCCGTAGCGCCCAGGCTGCCGTCCTGTGTCACTTCGCCTGCTCATATTGGCTTCTTCCCAGTTGGACCAACCAGCATGACGGACGCAGCGATGCCCCTGTGGGGGGCATTCAGGAGGGCAGCTTGGGAAAGGCAGTGCAGACCTGGGTGTGTTGATTGTGCAGCTGTGGGGCAGTGCTGGCTCGCTGCCCGCCTGTGGATGGGGAGGGCTCCGTGAGATCTCCCAGGAGCTGACTTGCTGTCCACCCGGTGCCCCCACTCGGCCCCGCTGTCCCAGGGCAGAGGTGAAGGACCGTGGTGTTTTGCTGTGGCTGGGGTGAAAAGCCAGGGTCCTGATTTTTTTCAGTTGTGGTAAAATGGATATTACACCAAATTGACCACAGTTAGCATTTCGAAGTGTGTAATTCAGTGTCATAAGCATATTCACAATGTTGTACTGGCATCATTTCTGCAGAGTTAAGGACCCTCTCGTCACCCCAAGGAGAACTCTGTACCTGCCAAGAGTCACTCCCTACTCCTCCGCCCGAGGCCCCAAGGTGGCCACTGACCTGCTCTCTGTCCCCGTGGACGGGCCCCTCTGGGCGCGTCACACGGATGGAGTCACACAGCAGCTGGTCTTGGTGGCCGGCTTCTGACACTCGGCGCCGTGCTTTCCAGGTGGAGCTTGGGTAGCATCCCCTGGTGTGAATACGGGGCTGGCCGAATTTTGATGCAGCTGACCAGATGGTTTAGGATGAAAAAAATTTTTTTTGGCTAAAACTCTGAGTTACAGAAATCCTTTTTGATCCTGAGCACAGTCAGCTGTCTCCACATGAGCTGGAAATTGAGGTGACTGTGGTTCTTCTTCTTCGGAAGTGATTTTTGCGTCTTGTCGGGCTGAGAGAGGCCTTTGATTCAGAGCTGGCTTCCGCGGGTGACTGCGCGAAGACTCGTCTCAGATTTTACTAATAGGCAGGGCTCGGTGTCTCCAGAGTGAATGGGCTTCTCCCCGGGGAAGGTCCTCTTCCCAGGGGGCCCCTCCCACCTTGTCGTGGGACGCGTCTGTCCCTTTGGGCTCAGGTGTGGCTTGGTGATCTTGATTTAACGCTTTTTTTTTACCATTAAATAATATGTTTTCTTGAGCCTTTTTTTGGAAGTCAAAACGTTGCTTTAATTGCTTAGAAAGGGGGAGGGTATATATAGCTCAGTGGCAGAGCGCGTGCTCGGCAGGCACGAGGTCCTGGGTTCCATCCCCAGTGCCTCCGTTACAAACAAACAAACAAACAAAACTAGTTACTCCCCTCCACTCCCAAAAAATTGCTTGGAAAATGGCAGCTGATGCCCTTTGATTCATAGAAAGTGCTTGGATAGCACATCAGTCATTTCTGCCCTTCTGGGCAGAGGCTGGTAACTGCCATATGGCTTCCAGAGAAGTGGTCACGCCTGGCGTCCAGGCTAAAGGGCACGTAGCTGTCTTCCTAGGCAGTCCCCACTCCCGTCCCCACACCACGGGCAGTGACCACCTGGGGCGGGGACACCCCTTCTTCCGGGGCCCTAGCGGGAAGCTTAGCGCGTCCTCTGGGCTGCGGAAGGGCCGCAGCTCAGACCCAAGGCCATCTGTCCCTATTTTGCTAACAGTCATCGATCAGGTGCTACCAGTGGTTCTGGAGGACAATTACGCAAACACGCTTGAATAATAGGACTCTGTCCTGCAGACGCTGCTCTTGTGATGGGCGGAGTAAAAGCCCAGGGTGCTTGCTCTGCACACCCAGCACGGACTCCCCCGACGGCGCGTGTCAGGAGCTGGTCTCCTCCCTCGTGCCTGCCGCCTCCTCATGCTGTCACGGTCCCGAGGGACTGAGTTCTGGGCAGCCTTGGCTGCAGAGTGTGCCCAGCATTCACGTCTCACGCTCAGCCCTTCCCTTCCCAGAGCTGAGGAGTGAGTCACTGTTGAGTCTGCGGGGGAGCGATGCCTCACCACTTCATTTATCAGGGATCAGGGGCACTCACCTAGAAAGCCTGGGTGATACTCAGCTGCTGGGTGAACGTGGGCTTTTCTATGAAATCTTGGAATATTTGACCGAGTTCATCTGGCCAAGCCTTTGCTCAATGATTTTATCTGAAGGCTGAAGCAGCAGCAGCAGAAAAATTAGGAACTTGAGAGAAATGCAAAGTCTTAGGCTTCCCCTCAGGTGCCCTGAATCGAAAGCTCGGGGGGTAGGCGTGGGGCCCTGTGTTCTAACAAGCCCCCAGGACCCGGACGCAGTCTCAGGTCTGAGAGTCAAAGGAGAGACAGAGGTGACTTTTCTAAGGAAGAGGAGGAGGAGGAGAACCTACAGCATCACTGGGGTGTGCCTTACACAAGGACGAGGATGCTGGCGGTTGTCCGAGTCGGCTCCGGCCGCCGTGACAAAGCACGCAGACCAGGGCCTTCAGCAGCAGGCACGTCTGTCTCACAGGCTGGAGGCTGGAAGTCCAAGGTCAGGATGCCGGCAAGGTTAGCTTCTGGTGAGGGCTCTCTTCCTGGCTCTCAGATGCTAGTGTTTCTTCTTTGCGGTGCGTAGAGAGAGGGGGTGGGGGAGGTTTCTGGTGTTTCTTCCTCTTCTTGTAGGAATAGCAGTCCTGTCTGATCGGGGCCCTATGCGTATAGCCTCATTTGACCTTAACTTCTTCCCTGAAGGCCCCATCTACAAATAACACCACAGTGGGGGTTGGGGCTTCAATATATGAATTTGGTGGGGGGGGCCATAATTTAGTCCATGACATTGATGATGGTGATTGTGATGATGATGGTGGTGATGGTGGTGATGATGATGATGGTGGTGATGGTGATGATGATGATGGGGATGAGGATGGTGATGGTGATGATGATGGTGGTGAGGATGGTGATGATGATGAATCTTCCTAGCTGCACATTTAAATTTAAAGCTCACCAGTGCTCTTCTGTATGTTCTTATTTAATGTTCAACAGCCCAAGAAGGTGGACATTTTCATGCCCAGCTTGTGGGAGAAATGGAATTACAGAGATGGACGCCTAGGATTCCAGAATCAGTCGGTGGCCTCCAGGCCTTCTGACTGCCAGTCCAGGGCTCTGCTGCCTGGAGTGAGGCAGACTTCCTTCTGGCCTGTGGTTTATGAACAATGGCAGGGATCCTTTTATTTTCCGATTGCTCGGAAGATAAGGAGACATGGAATGGACAGAATTCTAAAGACGTGGAAGGTCTAAGTGAAGGGGGTGTGCAGCAGGGGCAGGGTCGGGGGAGAGGTCGGAACGGCCGTCGAAGGCTGTGGGCTGTGGTGTCCGCTTGGCTAGGCACCAGAGCCCGTTATGTCATCTGACACCCAGGCAGGCATCGCAGTGAAGGTACTTTGTAAGTGTAGTTCACATCCAGTCAGATGACTGATCTAGTCCATGTGGGTGGGCCTCGTCCAATTAGTTGAAGGTCTTAGGAGCAAAAACTGAGGTTTCCCGGAGAAGAAGAAGTTCTTCCGCCTCAAGACTGTCACACGGAGACCTCACCCGAGGTTCCAGCCTACTGGTCTGCCCTGCAGATCTCAGACCTTAAATGGGCCGGTTCCTTAAAATAATCACCGAGTGTGTGTGTGTGAGTGTGCATGTGTGTGTGTCCCTGGAGGTCTCTGGCTGATACACGGGGAAACCGATCTGAACGCTCCCGCCTCCTGGCAGCGCCATTCTGAAGGGGTTTCCGTAGTTTGAAGGGAACAATTCCAGCACCGAGCATCGTGTGTTTGGAGAGATGGCGTCCCCACACACATGTCACCTTGTGTGGGTCTCAGGCTACTCAGCAGCTGCCCAGCTGGAGTCCAGGACAGAGAGGAGGCGGAGGAAGTAAGGGGGAGGGGACAGGCAGCGAGAGTTTGCAAAGTGTTGCAGGTCCCGCTGTGACTCCGGGAGGGAGGTGCGAGGACGGGCGGGGCAGAGGGCAGAGAAGCCCTTACAGTGGGCTCTCTGTGGTGAAGGTTGTGCCCAGCCATGGCGGCTGCCTCCCGTGAGCAGGAGTCTCAGCCCCGCTGGGCACTCAGCCTCTTCCTAGTGTCACCCGAGACCCGGGTTCCCTTCATCCCTGCTTGGCGCAGAGGTGGGGTGGATGGCCGGGGTCTGAAGCTCCAAGGGCACAGTGAGTGTTGCCCATGGCCCCCAGGACCCTGAGTCCTTCCTACGCCATCACACTGGACGTGAAAGGAGAAGGGCCAAAGCCAGAAACGTGGGGTCTTTAATCCCTCAGCTCGTAGGTGATAAGTCGCAGGGCTGAGCTGGCCTTTGGTAGATGCCCGTAGATTCTGTCTCCTCACCTCCTCACCCTCTGATTCACTTTCCAAAGCCCAGGACGTGGCTTTGCCGTAGCATGTTCCCAGGGGGACACGCAGCTCATGGGAGTGGCCTTAGGTCTCTCCTGAGATGTCAGATCCCGGCTGTTGTTCTCCAGACCTATAAGCATCTTGGGTGCTTTCACCCGGAGCCCCAATCAAGCTCCCTCAGCTTGTGACGTGGATGGAGAGGAACCAGCCTTCTCCCAAGCCACGCACCACCCCGGGCGATGCGGGGGCACCTTGTAAATGACGAGCCCCCGTGTCCTGCTGCCTGCGCTCTGAGCAGCTGCTCCTGGGTTGGTGTGCAGGCCGGCAACAAGGGCCGTCTGACGCTTCGGGGAGCGGCCGAGTTCTGGGTGCTGTACTTTTTCTGGGAAATTGATGGAACCCACTCAGCAGGCACGTCTGTTCCCTGTCCCTCCAGACACCTTTCTGGACATCTTTCCTTGTTTAGCGATTTGGCAGGGAGACTCTTTGGCAGGGCCACATGTCGTTGAAATCCACACGGATGGCAGAGCAAGGTCAAGGCGGTCTTGTCC